TAGTATCCCTACGAAATCGCTGCATCTGTTTTGTCGTTTGATAATTTTCGTTTCGTTGCGTTTCATGACAGTTGTTACTTCAATGTTCATTCGTCAACTGCAAATTTATCTTTTCGCAATCCACTATTGTTAAGTTTTTCGCATTTCAATCCTCCCGTTTAGAGGCTATCAGCTCACTTCATGATCTTATGCTATTGATCATGATCGATCAAGTTTGATGATTCAACCGAAGAGAGTTTCAGGCGTACATGATCATTCAATGACATCATCTTCATCGGACCATGATGATCGCAGCTCTCCTGATTCACTTCCCCCGTCAACGACATCATCTACTCAACAAATTCTCGGTGACGAATTCGTGAAAACACTCGAAAAAATATCTAAACAGGTTTGTGTTGGTGCTTGCATGCTTCTATAAACCATCTGCGTTATCTGATAGCTGTACTCTGATTTTGCTTGATGTGATGAACGTTTATCTAATGATGCATTCGTTATCTCATATTTTTTACGGTCACATCTCACTGCATGATTCATCGTTCGGATTCTTGTTCTTTTGCTGTCATGTATACCCTGAAGTTCGAATAAACATCCAATTCGAACATTCATTTAAGCTAGGCCATAAGCTGCTTATGTTTCGTATATCGGTTTCCGTTATTTCTCATCGCTTGCAGAAGCTTGAAAAGGAAGCGTGAGAAATAAGTATTGCGCCATTTCAATCGCTTTCTACGACAGTATTCCAACGACAACACCCTAATCGAAAATAAACAATAACAATGATTTAATTTAAGCAATCGTCGACATTGGCTGCTGCAACAACCGAGAGTAGTGCGGGAGCACACACCTCGCATGGTGCCGGCAACTACAGAACCGAGTTGAAACGTCCTGATCTCAAAGGTGTGTTCCCTATATGTTATGAAATTCTTCTGCTTTTCTCCTTTAAGCAATGAAATTTCAAACGTTATTTCTGAAAATGCTTCATTGAGCTGCAAAATATGTATGAGGTGTCATTATGCTATGACACAACACGAGACGTGTAACCGATTCTTACGTATTGCTCTCTGTGTGCATTTTTCTTCAAAGCAACTCCAGCTGAACTATAAATAAACTGTATGATAGAGCAAACAACAAAAACGACTAATCCAAGTCGCATATTCGATTTTGAGACGATCGTTCATGGTGTTTGTGTTTTGTGCTCTCAATAGCAGGAGAAATAAGTTATTAAGTTGTGTTTTTACGACGATGAATGGTTTCGTGAATTCGATTTAGTTGGTGACCTAATATGAAGGAGTTAAGGGGATGAGAGGCAATCAACACAAGATGACGGTTATTACCGAAAGGAGTATGTGTGGTAGGAAGAATGGATGTTGTTGACGATGCGTTTATGTAGATGTTTATGAATGAATTGGTGAACATAATGCATACCAGCATTGAATTATGCAACCGAATTGACCTATTTGCCCTCAGAATCACATCTCAAGCCACACCGTATCAACAATCCACTAATTGTATCTGCTCGTCGACAGCACAAAAACACTCTCTTTTACAGTCCATTCAGTAATCGTCACCTCAAAGAAGCATCACTCGTTCATCGAAGAACTTGTGAACGACTTGGCAATAATGCTTGCAGATGAGGGAAGGGAGTTGGCAAGAAAGAGCCGTTTCAATGGAGAAAATTAGTGTTGATTAATGAAAATGAAAAAGTCATCCAGAAAAAAATTACAAACTCACAGAACGTTCACAAATAGAGGAATATTATAGTGTTCTGCTTTTACTTTTGCTTGGAAGGCTGTACAGTTTAGTTGGAAACATTTTGTTGTTAAGCTTAGTGACGTAAAATTATTGCCGTTATTGTAACTAATTCTGAGATGTACTTGAAACAATGCAATGCTGCCTTCTGTAATTAATATTAGCATTCTAATGATGCTTGACTTCTCCAGGAACGTTCCGCTGTTCGATCTGTCAAAAAATATTTTGTCATTCATCGTCGTTGAGTAGACATCGGATGCAAGCACACTTCAAAAGTTACACTTGTACGCTGTGCAGAAAGGAAATCACAAGTTAGTTCTGCGCTTTGACGTGTTATTTTCTTCACTTGTAATCAGCGTTCTTGCACACAATTCTAACATCCCCGTCACCCGCACTCACCTCCTCGAGCACATTTATTTTTTCGAAAATGTTAATCCTCTCAAGATTTCCGAGAGTTCAATCGTATCTCAGTCGATATGTCATGCTTAAACATTTCTCTTCGCCTGATGATTTGTTTTTTCTGATTCATATAGTCGAATCTGCATGGTATCTTTATGTTTCGATTCTTTGTGTTAATCCTCTACTAAGCAGTTGTCATTAAGTCTTAAATTGCAACATGCTCATCACTGACTGTAATATTTCTGCTAGTAATGCGCCAGATTTTCTGGGAACGATCAGTAATGCTTCTCAATTGAATTCTCTTCGCCGTTAAATTGAAAAATGTTTATTAGATGTTTTCATGCTTCCCAATTCGTCAAACTCAATGCATAATTTCCAAAGTGCATATCTACATTGGTTCAGATTATTCAATGGATAATTTGTTGATTCATCCAAAATCGCCTCTTTTCTGTTGTCTCGTAAACGGATCTTCTTCCCACAAAAATTGTTGAGGAATGGGAAGACAAGTGGTTGAGCACAATTGCCAATAGGCAACTTGTTGTTAATTGTTGCGCACTGAGAGTACAACTCGACGACTATAGGGTTTATTAAAAAGTTGGTTGAAACGATGTTAAGAAGATGCGACACGAGCAGCACTGAAGCTTATCATTAGAATAGACCTATTTGATGGTATGTTACAAGATGCGTGTTGCAAAGAGCATTTGATTAATGTGTGACCCAAATGCAGAACGATTTGGTGCCATCATGTAGCATTGTGAAGTGGTTGGTGCTGCTGTTGACCGCCTTACGCAGCATGCATTTAACATCGCATCACCGATAAGACGGCTGACATCAACACAATGAATCGAATGAATATCTTGTAATTGTCGTAAGGAAGGATGGCAGCACTCTTTTGATGACTAAGATGACCTCTTTAGCATACTTCAGCGATGTTCTATCTTCTCCGTATAATAGCATTGATTACCTTTTGATGTGTGTGTGTGCAATCAACCGAAATACCTAGATTTTACACAAATCGAGCACTGCACACGTTCACGTAAACATTTCTGCTGCAAACTTTGAAACATTCATATTTTAAGGGGGATCTTTTAGATTTTATCATATTGGATCAACACAAATAACGATTCCTTTGGTGTTGGGGTGTTTATTTCATTGAAATTGTTGAGCAATATGCCGATAGGGCATCATCATTTATGAGCGCTTCAGATGTTTTTCCGACTATTAGTGATCCTTCAGTTAGTGACGATTAGTTAATACCGCCAGTAACTAGTGTCGGTTGGGATTTGAATTCGAAGTGACGTGTATTTAAAATGTAGCAACAAACTGTAACCAGTGAGCACCATCAAATTAAATTCACATTTCATTCATGCCGTATTGAAGAGTTTGACAAAGCATTCAATTAATTAAAAAATATACCTTGAATGTTAGCGTAATGCTAAATTTAAGCTGAAGCTCAAGATCGTTCTAATTTTCGAGTTGTCAGCGTTTTTTCGCTCTCCTGTCTTTTTAGTACCACCGAATTTCGTAAATGAGTAAATTGTGAATGATTGTGAGCAAAAAAACGATGGAAGTAGCCTGCAACATCATTTTCTCCATTTCCAGTCTCTTTTACCTGTAGAAAGCACTTATGACAGTGATTAATACATTTATGCGTTCTAATGTTACTTTATGATCCACGAAATCAAACCGTCCAGTCATTTCATCTATTTGACGCAAATGTTGGTAATTTTACCAACGTTTAACTTGTTTTCATCCTATACTATCGTCCGGATGGAAGCAATTAGGTCAGCATAATACAGATTCATTGATTGTCTTGAATGACTCATCAAAATGTTCGGAAGATGAATGCTCTCTGCTGCTAGTCATCACGGTTCCTTCTCGTCCGATCACCTTTACTGGATTATTAAACATCTCAACTGAACTCAGTTTTCAACATGTTCCCAGAATGATTGCTTGCATTCATTGCATTCGATGTTCGTCCGACTTTTTTCACGTGAAATGTTGGTTAGTTGTTAAAGAGTGGGAAAGTAGAGAGACGAGAAATAGTGAAATTGGAAGATGGATTTGAAAATTGCAGCGGGTTGTTTATGATAATGATGGTAATGTAATGATGAGAATTAAGAACGGAAGAAGGATGATGGATAGGAGTGGATTAAGTAGTGTATACGAGCTGATGTTCGTCTTTTTTATTGGCAAGGACTATAGGACTGAATCAATGCTTGCTTGGGTGAGTGTTGCGTTCGTGGACAACAGCACCATGATGCTGCTGGCACGCTTTGACCGCATCCCGAAACCGGTTCTCAACAGTCATTTATTTAACGATGCTCTCATTTTTTTCAATAACTAAGTGTGCGTGCAAAAGAATTCCATTTTCGGTTCGCAGCGATAGAAACAATAAATAGGTAAACACAAAAACATGAAAATGGAGAACGACTCTAGACAGATTCACGATACAATTAAAACAACAATAGAATTATGCAGTGCATTCGAATGAAATCACCAACAAAACAATAACTTATCCGTTCATCTCTCCCATTTAGTGCTCATCTGTGTGCCTAACAGCAAATTGCTGGTGTCGTACCCTTTAGTTTATCCGTTATTTAACTGAGATTCGAATATAGTTCTTGGCTCTGGCTTAATCTCAAGCTATTCATGAATACATCCATGCTTAGTTTTCGATGAAAGCTTGCAAAACCTTTTCAATTGAGAATTGGAGTGTCTTGCCATTACAGGTGGATGAGGAGCACCTTATAGTCAACGGTGGAACTTTCAGATTTGTGTTTGCTTATCGGGGAATGATGATGCATAGTTGATTGTTGATTTGTTTACCGGTGAATGGTATAGACGAATTGGGTGGAGATCATGAAAACAGAATGCAAAGAAGAGAAAATAGCTGGCTGATATGGGATGCATCGTATTTTGCATGGTGCATGATGACGTGTGTTGTGTTCATATTTGGATTTAGGTGAGAGGAGAAAGGCAGCGGTGCACAATGCGCAGCGCAGATAGCCAAAGCGCAGTGTGGGATGTCGGCACGAGAAGGTACAAA